AGATAATGAGATCTTTCCACCGATATAACTTGGTGTGCAAGAATTGTTCGGTCTTCAACCAAGAATTTAATGTTACTAAAAATTGAAGCCCATAATTCTGTGCATATAATGTATATCAATATATCTGCATACTTGTATACAATCGAACCTTTATAAGAGGCATGTATTTAGAGAGTACAGAATATAATTATAGATGTATACCATATATATTATATATGTTATACCTCTAGCATGCCTCTCTCATAACTAATGCGATGCGATTCAGATATCTGCTAGTTTAAATTTAATTGCATAACAAATTATTTCAGATATTTGAATATTTGGTAGAAAAACGGGTAATAGATCACATCTCTAAATTAGTGATATAGTAGAATTGCCCCAATGATAGTTATCACATTGCGTCACATTGCTGTAGCTTGCTATAATTATAGCAAAGCAATATAGTAAGTTACGGCTATAATTCTATAACTTATTATATTGCTTACTATATGGCAATATGATGACCATCATTAGGATGATTCTACTACATTACTACTTTAAATGCAGATTGTATAGTGTATAGAGGTTTGATTATATATATTATATATAGTATATATATATGTAACTTGATAAGTTAGTTAACCCACCACTCACCTAAAAATCACGTAATTTTTGGAAGCTTCTTTGTAGAATTGCTTCCTCATATATGCCAAATACTTCAATTTTATAAAGCAATTTGAAGTATATATATCTTTTTTTTTTAATATTAAGGTGACCACTTTGAGGTCTGGCACGGTTTATTAACTTCTCAGTTCAATTATCAGGATACCAAATAGGCAACCCTTGACTTTGTTACATTAACGAGAGTACAATTAATTATATGTACAACTTTAGTTATTATTTAATTAAGAGCTCTGCTATATCTATTTCTATCTATAGTTACCTACCAATTGCAATATCTAGGATCCGCTTGTGGATCCCCTATTTAAACCCTCTGATCAACTTAGCGCTATCAGATACTTTTTCCAGAAGAATTCCTGCCGCTAAGGCTCCTTAGGACTATTTTATCCTTGTGGTAAACCTACCAGAGTGGTCTATGTTCTACATATGTATCATCTGGGTTTTTCAGTAATATATTTCCTAGAAAACAAAAGGGCAGTTTTGATCATAGCCTGGTAATTTATTTTTATCCATATACTGAAGTATATAGATAGGGCTAAGAAAGTGGCTATCCTGGTCCTTAGTAAGTGGTGATAAAAATCCATCATTTTCTGCAAGCAAAGCTTCTACAACTTTATTTCTCTACGGAGAACAGCATCTAACATTATCACACTGTCGTAAATCAAGGGAATAACGATATATTTGACAGTGTTTATCAATCTAGCTCCAGAAAATATCAAAAGCTTCATCAAAAGGATTGATTTCATGATCAATATAGTTTACAGCAACTTTGTATCCATGAATATCGTCTTTTTGCCATAAATTATGAAGTTTTTTATCAGCATAACGAAAATTGCGAATTTCAAGATTACTATCTGTAATATTTCCCATGGTATCGAGATGAGATCCAAAATGATTAACAGGTAAAACAATTCCTCCTAACTTTCCTGAAAGAGTAGACATACTCCTTTTCACCGGGTTGTAGGCTGACTATCCTAGAGCATGAGTTCGAATAGTGAAATAATCAAGATTTAATATTTTAAACAATTTGCAATATTCTTTAATATTTTTTAAATATCTAGGATTTTCGTCAGATCTACTATCGACTAGCATGACCAAAATTGGTTTGAATTTATTTTCTATTTTTAAAGTTTGATCAAGGTCTGGATTTTTTGAGAGAGACAAAATATCTGCTATATGCGTTGATGATGATATATCTGTTATATCCCACAGATTGGAATTGTTATGGTTCAGTCACGGATGGGAATTTTGCAAATTATTTAGTAGAATTGAGATTTTAAAGTCGATTAAAATTAGAAAAAAAAATCACTTTAGTATAATTAGATCAAATAACAAAATTCTCATCTGGGATTGTATAAATTGAGCTGGTTCTGATGTAAGTACAACTAGGGATAGGTTCGGTTACGATTATTCATAGCCGATTTGCTAAATACTGAGATTATTTTTTATTTTTGAGCCATTAATTAAAATTGTTCAGAATTAAATTCTGTTTATTCTATCTTATAAGTAAAAAGAATGATACCTTCTCTGGGTTAGTAACTGCCGGCTAATAACCAGTTATAATGATAACAAATTTTGAAATTCTGAGTCCCAGAAAAGTTATCATTTTTTCTACTTATAAGATAGGTTGAACAGAATTTAATTCTGAACAACTTTAATTAATAACTCAAAATAAAAAATCATTTTAGTATTTAGCAAATCGGCTATGAATAATCATAGCTATTTGTAACCGAACCTATTCCTAAATACAACATACCTATCCATTGAAGACGTATAAAGATTAAAAGTTGGCCTTTCAATAATGAATCGTTTGAATCTTCAGGATCAATAGTAAGATACATAGATAGAATTAATTTTGCATACTACCTTTAGAGAAGTTATGGTCAGGAACAGTGACAGGTTTATTATCTAATTGAATAGTTTTAAAGGTCTGTTCTACTGCTGAAACACCTAGAGAAACTTTTACTTTATCATCCTGTGATATGATCACAGAATGTGAAGCAAAAGAGGTTATGAATTGTCATGCACTTTTAACTGATAAAAGACAATAATATTCATCAATATAGTCTTTCATTTCATTTCTTGAAACTGACATCACCTGGATTGCTATAGGATGATGATGTCATTTTGCACTTAGAGAATTGATGTGCCGAGGCCAGAGATACGTATCAAGACAGGAACATGATATATAAATTTTGTACTTTTCTTCTATTTTAGTTTTCAGGTGAATGGTAGTATGCACTTTAATTATCTCTTTTTTTCTTTTTTGTACAGCGCTTCCAAATTCTACATATGAATGAAGTTGCATAGAAAGATCGAGATTTTGTTAAAAAAAAGAAGGTCACCCCAGGAAATCATAACGAATAACTTTATTGCTTTCTTCTAAAGCCTTAAGTTTTTTTGCTCGACACTTTGCTTGCGCAGCCATATGATTTCTTAATTTTTTTTCTTTTTTTTTTTGTCTTCAATTATTTGTTTAGTTTCTGTAATTTGAACAAGAAAATCATGACAAAGTTGTGAATCTCATGCAATGTGATAAAGATCATTTAATTCTGCAAGTTTTTCTTTAGCGATTTTTTGTTTTATAAGTAATGATTTTTGTGCTGATGCATTAAACCATGGCTCTTCTGTGATAGTAATAGGTGACTTATCGCTTTTTTCTGAATCAGATTCATAACTTTCTTCCTGATTATTTAATGTTTTAGTTCTTGAAGTAGATAAAAAAGATATATATAAAGGTGGTTAAATAGAAGTAGCAAAGTAAGTATTTATAATTTGTTTAAGGTCTTCTTCTTCTTTTCTTTGTACTTGCTTGCATTAAGTACACAAAAAATCAAATAAATTATTGTATGTGAGTAATAAATATCTATACTATCGTGTCAATTTTTGCTCTCATACGATAACATTTTTATCATCTGGTAAATGTTACTGTCATATGCATTTGATCATATTAAATAAATAATGTGCTTCAAATCAACGTTTGTCTTCTTTATATAGTTTTTTCACATTATAATTTTTTAGTGTTATCAGTTATTGTTATCAGTTATTTATGGTATTATTAATTAAACAAATTTGTTGACAGCTTTATATGTACATATAATAACCTCCAAAATTATATCACGATTATATGAAAAAATAAGTGTAAAAATTAACAATTACGATAATATATCGATATACATAAGATAATTTTCATATACATTTGTGAATAGCATTTGAGAATAACAGATATATGGATTGGAGAATTTGGATTTTGCTGATGTCTTTGTTATACCTG